AACCAATCCATCTTCGGGTTTCGATGGGTGTTTTTTGATTGCTTTAGAGAGCTTCGTGGGTAGCACATCTCGTGCATAACGAGCAACCCTATGACCAGAAGGACCATGACCATCAAAAACTCCACAAAACACCAAATCTTTCTCCCCTGAGAAATCCTGTAAGTTTTCATCCAAATTTCATGAAACATTTTGCAGATCATCCATAACATTCATCAAATTAGGGGCAACAAACAAAACATTGATTGATTCATCTCGTTTACCTCCCAAATCGTCATTGAATCTTGATTGACTCCTTTTCTTCCTCGTTGAGTGAACATTGATGTGAAGGCAGAGGATCCACGGAGTCTAACAGTCTCGCCGTCGTCACCGCGTCGGACCTCTTCTCCGTCGTCGCCGGCATTGGAATCCCTCTCATCTCTATCATAGGTCATGTAGCCTCCTCCATGGATGTGATCTTTTGTGCAGCAGGCTCCCATTTGTGAGACAACCCCTCCACTAGGGCGATCTCAAAAGGGAAGATGACCCACCAGAAGAGATCAAATACCCACAAATTTTCTGGGAAAGAAAATGCATGAAAGCAAAGAAACAGAGAAGGGGAGAAGGAGAGAGGATGATATTAACGACAAACACAATGGAAAGAGAGAGAGGGAGAGATAATAAATTGAAAAATGTTGTTGGGATGAGAATGTGGAGTTTCAACAAACAGAATTATATTTAGAAAATGAAGGGTGGTGTTGACATTTGAGGTTTAGTGGGTTTGTTCTTCTTTCATTTCTTCATCTTTTTAAGGTTTGATCCCATAAATTTTTGGTGGATGGTTTGTCAACTGTTTGTTACAAACCAATAGACATGAAATGGTTTATATCTTCCACTAAATTATTCCAGTTTCTGACCGACCAATGGTGCTTAAATAACAATATTGGTTTCTTTGTCACTTGGAATTGTTTTAAACTATGATGTGACTTTGATATAATCACTAAATTGTCATCTTATTCACCTCGCAAGATCGACCTCATCGACACAAACCCAATCTAGAAATAATTGTAGCAATGATGAAACGTGATGGGTTTTCATACATTTTTTTAACGAATATTCAATAGAGTTGTTCGAAGAGTCGGAGTTAGGATTGTCGAAGAACACTCCAAAATATTAGATCATTGTTCAACTCAAAAACTCACTAATCTCTCCACCAACAGTGTCATAAATTTATACTCTCGTTCATAAGAACACTACCTATAATGTGAGATTTCACATTGATTAGAGAGGAGAACGAGTATCAGTGAAAACGTTCGACCTCGAAAGGGGTGAGATTGTGAGATCCACATCGATTAGAGAAGGGAACTAAACATTTTTTATAAGGGTGTGAAAAACTCTCCAAACCTTGATGGTTCCTCGAGTGAAAATTCAAAGAGGACAATATACACTAACGGCAGATAGATTTGGCCATTGGAAATCAATAGAAAAGGGCAATAGATGCAGGCGAAGCACTATCTATCTGTCATTTCTGGCTGGAGTTGGACTAAACCAAGCTGTTGATACTCAGTCATAACACAGTTGTACAACCGACTAAACCAAGCTGTTCCAGATACACTTCCATGGCTACAACCGAAGGAAAAGACAATGGCAGAAAAAGACATGATTTTCAGTTTCACAGAAGACACAGAGAATGTTATATGACACCAACAGGGGGATGGATGTATAAAATCAGCACAACTTATACATTTGCAGCTTAATCTGTAGCGAAAACAATATGAAAGCTTTCTTTTGTGGGAAGAAAAATATGTAAAATCAGATACAATTTCAAAAGAATGTTTATCCAAAAGAATGTATAGTGTTTGTTGTTACCACCATTGATGAACCAGAACTCCACTCTGTCTGAGAGATGCAAACAAATCTATGCATTCAGAATATGTTTTCTCATACTTTCTACTCCTTTCCCCAGGGCAACACCTCTGCCATCTATTGTAATGACACTCGAGAAACATCTCATCTATCAGACAAATCGCTCCCGTCTCAAACAGTCTCGGAATCAATTCGAATTCGGTTCCTTCCACGTCCATCTTCAACACCACGAAATCCTTCTCTGATACTGTGTTCTTCAACCAGGTAGCAAAATCAAACCCCTGAATTTGATTCACCTCGCCGTTGAAATGGCCCGACGATTTGACGGGTTGGATCCTGCCCATCCCTCGGCCGCCTTTATCTTCCATTTCCTGACCTGGGTCTTTGTTGATCTCAAAAGCCAATGTCTCATTCCTCACCCAAGCAGCATAAGGCAATAGTGTCACCCTTTTCTTTGATCTATACTGTTCGTGAAATGTTTGATCAGCTTCAATGGCATAAACTTCAAAGGTTTTGTTCTGCTTTGGATATTGCTTTTTGAACCAACTCCCAATGCTGGAGCCATAACTCCTGGCTCCAACATCCACATAGACATACCTGTTTTTGAAGCTAATTTCAGCCATTGATGGCAAATACTTGATGTTTTGTATGTTTCTCTTTAAGGTTAACCATGGCTTCAATGGCTCCTCCAATATCAGAGGCTCAGCATTTCGGACTAGAGCTAGCTTATACCCAGGAACAGAGCAATTCTTCTTGTAAGAATCTCCATCCAGTTTCTGCAACCTATTTTCCAGAATTCTAAACTCTTTCTTCAATACATATTCACGAGTAAAAGGCATCGATGGCAGAAAATTATCTATATCTTTTGATTTAAGAATCTTGCAGCAATTGAATAAATCAACGAATGAATTGAAACTATATGTGTCTTTTGCACTTACATGGACCACCGCAAACCCTTCGGGTTTCAGTATCCGAGCAATCTCCGAAGCAAAATCATAGGGCCGATGGGAAATATCCAATCGGCCTCCGCCGGAGAACACGAAGTCAAAGGTTTTATCCTCGAACGGAATCCGATGCGCCTCACCCTTAATCACGTGAGGCTTCAACGCCTTCTTGAAAATCCCAACCGAATCCGAAACGCCGATCTCCTTCAACGCCGATACGTCGGCTCCGGCAGGGGTTTCAATGCACAACACTTTCGAATTCGACGATAAGTAGCCCTCGGTAACTAGATCTTGGAAAACGGAAGAGTAAAACTGGACCGTCTTGATCCAATCTTCACTCGAATACAGATCCGGACGAGGAGGCCCGATGACACGAGAGTCAGTATTGTCCGTAATCAAAGCGGCACTTCCGACGCGGCCGCCTCCAGCGATCATGAAATTGAAATTTTCGGGCAAAGAGAAGAAACAGAAGTCGCCAATGCTACAGGATTCTCCGGCAATAGTCACAATATAAGCAAATCGACCGAGAATCACAAGAATAGAGAACAGAAGCACTCGAACCAGAAGGTTCCTCAGGGAGGCGAACTTCCCCGACACAGATCCCATTAAATCCCCCTTAAGCTCTTACTGTACACAACAAAGAAAACATGAAAACAAAACAAGAATTGGAGAAGATAAGGCAGCGTAACGATTCTAATGAATTGAAGAAGGTTTAGCGTGAGCAGAATCGGGAAGAGGTGTGGTTGGCTCCGATTAGGGTTCCGGCACAAGTGCCGGCGGCGGCTGCGATGAAAAAATGGGAAATCATGGTGGGCGGGAAGATATTTAAAGGAATTGCAGTGGCAATGAGGCGGTGGTGGTGCTGGTAGTGGTTCTGTTCGCTGTGGGGGAAAGGAGGTGAAAATGGAATCAGAGGATCGACGGTGAAGATAATGGAGAACGGGCAACCGGTTCAGCCGGTCACCATGTGGATAGGATGCTGATGGAATGGGAATGGAACATGAAAGCGAAGATGCTTTTGGCTTTTAATAATGGAAAATTCCAAAATTGTATTAAAAAATGATTAAATTATAATTAAAAAATCTGATTATAACAAATATATATATAATTTTTTTTAATAAATATAATTTTATTAAATATTCTATATTTAGTTAAATTTAAAATTGATTCTATATATGTTAAATTACTATAAAAGAATTTTAAAGTAATTCTCCATTAATCACTTTGGAATAACTTTTTGATAATCAAATTATTCTAAAATAAATTATTCATTTTTCCAAATATATTTTTAATTGTCACCGAACCTTCTAGATTGGAAGGAATATTTATGACCCAATCAACAAATAATTTGAATTTTTTAAAAATAATTGTTTTGACTATTAATCATCTAAATATTTCTTTTAATTTTTAATCTTATCTAAAATAATTATTATATTCATCTTTCATTTAGCATATAACTTAACAGCATAGAGTACATTTTGAGACATTTTCAGTCTAAAATACATGAATTTACCAAAACAATAGAGTACATTTTGAGACATTTTCAGTCTAAAATACATGAATTTACCAAAACATTATATACTCAGTGAATAAAATGGATAAGGTATTACAATGACCTATATGATCGTGACAAAAATTAGGTCGTAGAGAAGGATGATAATTTTATAATTAGGTAACAAAATTATGAAATTAGTTGTAATCGATCCAAACTTTGGAACCCACAATTGATTTGTATTGAAGTAAACACCTTGAGTGGATCCCACAATGCTTTATTCTTGTTCTTTGATGAGGACTTAATAGAAATGGGCCTAAATGGATAATTTTGTCAAAAAAAAAAAAAAAAAAAAAACCGGAGTTTCCATTACCAATAAAGCGGTCCCATTACCAATAAAGCGGTCTTAAAAATACATGAAAATTGTACACGTATGGTAAGAACTCCATGGTTAAGTATATTTGTAAAACGTCTTCCATACATATTCTATAATGTCTCTATCGAACGAATTACATGGTTAAGTGTATTTAAAAAACGTCGAATTAAGCACATGGGTTTGATTGAAATAGAGATGGGTTTCCATTTGCAATAATAATAACACATCAAAATCAAACACAGCTCATTTTGATGAGGAAATGCCAAATTGGGAACTCTACAACAACGAACGTGATGGGGGATTGGTTGTTGGCCCACTTGGAAGTGGACAAAACCTTAATAAAACATAAGTGAAATTGAAAGTCAAATTGAAACATAAGTGGAATTGAAAGTCCAATTTCGTTTAAAGGGTTCGATTCTTTGGACGCATTCTCCTAATATATTACAAGAAAACAAGGAACTACCTATCCTATCCTATCCTGTGCCGCTAACTCCAAGGTCTTGTTTTTTGTCATCCTTGCCGGCGCCGAACACCGGCCCGCCTTTCCCGGCGGCGTCTTCAACTTTGTCCTGAAGTTTATCGATCTGGATCATTCCGGCGTCCTCCCGGGAACGGAGATCGGTCCTGGTGCGGTTCTCGCCCCCGGGCACGGACTCGTACGTGGTGGCCGTGAACGAGTCCTTCGGCTGCGCGCCCTGAGCTCCTGACATTGCGAATCACGGAATCAGAATGGGTGTGGGAAAGGGATGAGTTGATTAGGGAATTGGGAACTGGAAATGGTGTTTATTTATGGGTTGGTTGGGATTTGAAGAAGAGGAGTCGTGGCGGTCATGCAATCGGTGAGAGGGCGGTTGAAGGGCACCACCTGCTCTCAGCTGCACCCCCTTCTGCCACCTCCTCTCTGTCGGTCTCTTTCTTGTCTTTTTCAGTTTTGGCTGATGGATAAAGTTTTGTTTTATTAGATTATAAGTTTTGTTTAAATAGATTTAAAAAAAAAAAAATTTAATCTTTATTCCATTTTGTGATGGATGTAGTGAAATTCTGGATCGGAAAGGGTAATGAAACATTCTAACACATGGTGTGGAGATCTCGGTTGGAAAGAGTAATGAAACATTCTAATAAATGGTGTGGAGATCTCTTTTGATAGAAGCGTTTTAAAACTATGAAGTTAACAGCGATATATAATAGACAATTGATGTGAAAATCTCTTTTGGTAGAAGCGTTTTAAAATTATAAGGGTAAGAGCAATATATAACGAACCAAACCCGACCATCTTTGTTAAAGGTGGACTTGGACTATTATAAATGGTATTAAAACCAGACGCATGCAATATGCCAACAAGGATGCTCGACCCTCAAAGGTGGATTGTGAGATCCCACGTTGGAAGAGTGTTTTAGGCAGACGGTGATACATAATAGGTCAGGTAGACAGTGATATATAACAGGCCAAAGCAAATAATGTTTGTTAGCAGTGGACTTGGACGATTAGAAATAGTATTAGAACCAGACATCGAGTGGTGTACCAACGAGGACGTTAGACCCTTAAAGAGGCAGATGCGTTTTAAAACAGTGAAGCTGACGACGACACATAACGGATCAAAACAGCCAATATCTTCCCGCAGTGAAGTTAGCGATTCCAAATTTATTGACTAACATAAAAATTTGAACCGAACATGATCCGTTTCTTCTCATAGAATGTTACACAAACAATTTACACAGCAGAAAGAAACTATATTCTTGTTCACTTTCATTAGAAAGAGTGATTAAAATTGAAGCTTGGTGACCATCTCGAGCAGCAGGAAGCCAACTTCTCCAGGTGAAACAGATGCTTTCGGACACGGTAGAGGTGGACGGTATAGAGCAGCGCCGCCAAAGTCACCACCGTGAACGATATCAGAATCAGCTTCCAGAAATCCTGCAAAAAAAATGGCCACCATAACCAACAGTCATACACAAATACAAAATAACTACTTCATCATAGACTGTTCTTCAATGATGATGAGGATGGTATCACCTGAGGATTTGAGACGACAATTCCCATAACGTACCCCATCAGGTCCATGGTCGATTGGAGAGCGTTTTGTGCACCCCCGACGACGCAACGATCGGATTCAGGGACTTGATCCTAATGATATGAAACGCAAGCAAACAAAAGAACTCCCCATTCATTACATCAAACTACATTATAGATAATATGAAGCAAATTCTATTGTGATTTGAATGCTGTGTTTCGTACCTGCATTTGTTGGATGACTGCCAAATCGAACATCCAGAGTCCGAGCCGAGACACTGCCACTCCGATCATTAGCATGTATGCTGACAAGAGGCTGTTTTGCATCCATATTGAAGCAACGCACACTAGTAAGCAGGACCACTGCAATGTCATTGACAATCAATATTAATGACCGTTTTGGTCGGTTGATAAAGAGAGATTTTCATTTCGATGTCAACGGTCTCTTGTTAGCCAATGGCTACAACGACGCTTAAACGTACCTGAGACCAAATAGACCAGAGGCCTGTTCGAAGCGTCGAAATTCGAGACTGTATAATAGGGTAAACAAGTGTTGCTGCAATGCCAATGGTAGCGCTTATTCCACGTGCAATTCCAATGATATAGGCGGGTATCCCTTCCCATTCTAAGGTTGCAGTCATTAAAGTTCCAAAGCTGGAAGAGAAAAAAGTTTGAGAATGGGAGACTTGAGTATCAATGTAACACCTAAGTCCACCGCTAGTAGATATTGTCCGCTTTGGCCCGTTACGTATCACCATCAGCCTCACCGTTTTAAAACGCATCTACCATGAAAAGGGTTTAGCCCTATTTCAACCAGTATCTCGCATTGTCGGGTGACTTGACTCTGATACCATTTGTGACAGTCTGAGACCACCGCTAGCAGATATTATCCTCTTTGGTCTGTTACGTATCGCCGTCAACCTCATAGTTTTATCAGTGAAAACATCGAGTAACCTTTACCTTGATATCCTACCTCGATTGGAGAAGAGAACAAAACATATCTTATAAGGGTGTGGAAACTTCTCCCTAACCGTGAGGCTAACGATAATACGTAACAAGCTAAAGCGAACAATATCTCCTAGCAGAGGGCTTGGACTGTTACAGTAGTATCAGAGTCGGTCATCAGGCGGTGTGCCAGTGAGGACGTTGTGCCCCAACGGAGTGGATTATAAGATCCCACATCGATAAGAGAGGAGAACGAAATATATCTTACAAGGGTGTGGAAACTTCTCCCTTGCAGTCACGTTCTAATGAGTGCATTGGTAAAGCAAGTGGATTCAGACATTACCTAAGGACTGTGAAGAATAACACAGCGAGAGCGATCCCCGGGAGTACGGTGTCTTGCTCTAGATACATCTTCCATGCACTAACAAATGGGAACTTTGAGAACCAGTTGAACATTTTCACTTTCCAGCTCGTTTCAGCCGAATGTCCATCTTCGTAATCCGGAAATCGAGAGACAGAACTACTCCCTTCCACATCTCTTAGAACAAGTCTTGAGACCCTTCTATGGCTGCTTTCTTCCAAAGCCGGAATCCCATCATACACAGAAGTGAACAACCAATACTCGAACCAAACCGATACGATATTCCAAACTGCCAAAGTCACAGCAGATGCCTTCAAAGAAACGAAACTAATAATGAAACCAGATATTACAGGACTAAACAGCTTGCAGACCAGATCGATCCGCCTCATCGTAGAGTTTATATTTGTCAGCATTTCAGGAGGATGGCGTTCTGATATCACTACCACCCTGTGCAAAAACCAAACTGGCAACTTAAACATCACTTGGATAGAACTTTCTTCTCAAATGCTATTCAAAACTAAACAGCAATCAATTACCATTCTCTTTCAATTAAGATAGTACCCGCAAGAGACGAAAGCGCGCCAACAGCTCCAGCAATATTTGTCAATATCACAAGCAAAATGAACCCTGTGAAATAGGTGGATATCAAATCTGAGTAGAACAGTAACGCGACCACCGTCGCTCCAGCAATAATATACGAAAGATTTTGTGTCACCAGCCAAATTTTGAGAACCTGATAACATAGAACCAAAAATATACGACTACTTCAATCAGGCAAACAGCAACTGTTTCATCCAGAGGATATTTGAAGACTACCTTGATCATTTCATTGATTCATGGTTGTTTAGTTTCATTCAAGTAGATGATCATGATAAACCCATATAACCTGGCTTGTGCTTATATCTAGGATGGATGAGCATATTGTGTTGAGGATTGTTGGGAGGGAGTCCCACGTTGGCTAATTTAGGGAATGATCATGGGTTTATAAGTAAGGAATACATCTCTATTCGTATGAGGCCCTTTGGAGAAGCCCAAAGCAAAACCATGAGATCTTATGCTCATAGTAGACAATATCATACCATTGTGGAGAGTCGTTATTCCTAACATGGTACCAGAGCCATGTCCTTAACTTAGTTATGTCAATAAAATCTTCAAATGTAAATTAAAAAAGTTGTGAGCCTCGAAGGTGTGGTCAAAAGTGACACAAGTGTCGAACAAAGGGTGTACTTTGTTCGACGACTCTAGAAGAGTCGAGCCTCGATTAAGGGGAGGTTGTTCGAGGGCTCCATAAGCCTTAAGGGAGGCTTTATGGTGTACTTTGTTCGAGGCGAGGATTGTTGGGAGGGGGTAAGGAATGATCATGAGTTTATAAGTAAGAAATACATCTCCATTCATACGAGGCCTTTTAGGGAAACTAAAAGTAAAACTAAAGTTGACAATACCATACCATTGTGGAGATCATAAGTTATCATTTCTTCTTTTGAAAATGTAAGCAAAAAGAGAGCAAAACCTTGACGTATGCTAACTTATCAACCCAATCACCAACAATTGGACCAAAGAAAGCAGTGGAAGCAGATTCCACAACACCATAAATCGCTGCAAAGAGTAGAGAATTGGGCCACACACTGATCATATATAAACCAACGGAGAATTCCCACATTCTGTCACAAAATCAAAGGCAGTAAGAACAAATCCAAATCCAATCAAAAGGGTTGGAACAGAACTCGAGTTTTAAAAAACAAAACCAAAATCTGCTCTAAGAGACATAAATACAAACACTTAGTGTGCAATCTGTGCAACAATGGAAGAAAACGTTCGAAACAAAACAAAACAAATCCCAAGTTTCTTTTACACTGTTTTCAATCCTGATATAATGAAATCAAATCCTAAAACATGATAAGATCAAACCAAAAACAGGGATTCAAATCATTCTATCAAACAAACAACTAGGTTCATCTAAAATCTATGAAATGACGGGAATAATCGGAATGGAAACCAAAATAGCGAGAAGAAAGGGGGAAAACCTAGCGCCCCATCTGGCCAAGAAGTGTCCGGCGTACAGACTCCGAAGAAGAGAAGAAGAAGCAGGGGATTGCAGAGGGGACAGAAGCGGCTCATTCTCCATTACTGTTTTCTTCAATCACAGCTCCTCTGGATCAAAATCAATCTGAGATTAACGAAATATGAACTGAATCGATCAAAGAAAAGGGTAAACAGAACGAAATCAGTGGGAGTTTGACTTCCGAATTCCCAGACGGGGAATTCTTCCTTTTTTAACTTGGGAAATTGCTTGCTGCTCTTCGATCGATGATTAGAAAAAGGTGGGTCTCTTTTATGCGTCTCTGAGGGAATGGATATTCAGGGAAGCGACAATTTTTTCTTATGGGTCTTTGTAAATATGGAGGTTCTTATATGAGCTGGGGAAGAACTGACACAGAATCATGATTAAATTAGCAACTTTCTGTCATGCAGATATGGAAAAAAAAAGAATTATTTAAAAGGGCTCATGACTCATGCTCATCATCACTGTCATGCATGCATGCAACCAAGAGGTGGTATTGAGGTTGAAATTTGACCTTACCAAATAGTTTCAAATTTAATGGTTTTAAACATTTTTTTTTAAAATACCTATGTAAGTTTTATTAATATTCAAACTTTTTTAATTTTTAAAAAATAATTTTTAATTTTTTTTAAATACGTATATAACTAGTACCCCATTTAAAAAATACTCATAAACTTTCGTTTAAAAATAATTTATGAGATGTCGATAGGCAGTTTTCGTCCATGTATTGATAGTAAGAATTCTTTAGAATTTTTTTAGAAAGGTAAAGGGTGTCGATGCTACTTTTAAAATTTCGTGTGTGTTTTTTAAACATAGTACTAACCGTAAATGTATTTTTGAACTTTTAAAAAAAGTTAGAGGGTATTAAAGAATTTTTTTTAAGTTCAAGTGTATTTTTGAAACACTATTAAAAATTCAAGGGTATTTTTGAAATAAAGTGCTAATCATTTGTCATCTAAAATGAACCGTAATGTATTTTTTTTAGAGTTTAAGTGTATTATTAAAACTTTTAAAATAATCCCACAACCCGAGTATCGTACTAAGAAATTCCACTTGTTGTACTAAGAAAACCCTTTAAATTGAGTCATCTTCCATCTACATAAATTTGTTTATATATTGAAACCATAAATAGATAAATCACAAGATTTATCCTTAAAAACAAATTGATTAGAAAAACATAATTGTCGGACAAGGACGAGGGACACATAATTATTTAAAAATCTAAGATCAAGACATAACAAGGACGCATTTGTTAAAATATGCATTTTAAAACATATCTTTTTATATAAGAAGAAAATTCAAAGTCAACACGTTTATGCATTTATATGCTTAAAAAATACGTTTGATTAACATATATATGTGTGTTTTTAATATACTTGATGAACATTGCATACAACTTTTGGACCTATTCTGACTTTAAACAATTAGTGTCTAACACATCTACACGCTAAGAAGTGTGCGATACGAGTCTAGCAAACATACGCTAGCCACACCAAAGTATCCGTGCTTCTTACCATTAGACAAAGCTAGACCTATATAACATGAATATATATTGGTATAAAACGTGAAGAGTAGCAAAGAATTTCACTGTACTAAGAAAGGTGGCCATTATAATATAGGAGGCCAGAACAGAACAGAAGTATGAGGGTGAGACAAAAATATGCATGAGACGGTACTACAATTACAAAAATTACATCAAAAGTATGTTACATACCAAAATTTAATCCATTCCAATACCATTTACAATTGCCAAGATTATACCAAATACCCAGGAGCACTGATTGTGTTTGGTCCAGCTCTTGTTGAATAATAATATTCTACCTCGTATCGTATGTTATTCTCGACGTTGTATACCGTTCGGTTGACGGGTGGTACTGCTTTGTTCATGAACCCAGAGCAAGGGACCAAAAGATAAACAAAAATAGAGACAACCCAGAGGACATGTGACGTATGCTTTATACATATATGAAGAAGCTTAGAGATGAAGTGGAATGCTAAACTACAGAAATTACCATTTAAGGGAGAACGAGAAATCTCAACCCAGATCATGGCGAAGCAGCGATGGAGTATTTATGGATTGAAGGAGGTGAAGTTTATTCAGAATCACTCCAACTATCAGAATCGTCATCTTCATCACTTCCAGCAAATGCCTGTTTTTTAATAGTTTCCAAGTAAGTTCCATTTCTAAGATAAAGATACGGGTTGGGTTGGGTTGGGTTGAGTTAGGTTCGAGGGAGCTAGAGAGATACCTGGCGAATCGCATTTGCTCTCTCCAAGATAGCAGCGACCCTCAAATTGGTTTTTGGACCCTGCACACTGGGTCTCGTTACGGCTGCGGGCTTCAAACTAAAGGACTGAAAATTACAATCAGAATAATTCGTTAGCAAACCAACTGCACCACGAAATTCGTGTCAATGTATTAATAAGAGCAATGTTCAGCTTCAACCTTGGTTCGAATCTGTGCAAGCAGTGAATCTCTTTCATCTACCTTGGGTCCAATTTCAGGTAGTATCCGATCAGAAACTTTTCTCAACTGCAAATTGGTCAAGAAAGTTAATTCCAAGTATTTTATAAGCTTATCACCGAATAAGTTCTCAAAATAGTTAATGAAATATTATAGAACCTTGCTTTTATCGTGGGCAGCGACAGCATCAATGAGAGGACTTCGTGGACGAAGTAGCTTACTACTAGTAGGTGGTTTTCCATTAGGCATACCGACCCCAGAGGTCGATGGCATAAGAGCTGTTTTAGAGGATGAAGCTACTTCTTCCTCAGTAGATGGCAAATCATCCCGAGATTGTTCGTTCTTCATGAATGATAGAGGCGCTATCATAGCATGGGAATTCCTTTTCTCCCCTTCAGAATCTTGTGATACATGTTGAGGTATATCAGGCTTCAAGTCTATTTGTGATGCTGAGTTGCTAAACGATTGGAATGACTGCCCATATGAAGATCCACTATCACTTTTACAATTTACGTCGTCGTTTGTCAGTCCTAGTGAAGGCAGTTTCAAATCAGCTTGTACTTCTTCTCCAGCAGACTTAAGAGAATAAAGCTCTGGGGTTTCCTTGGGCATTGGCGGTAACGTAAAAAATGGGTTATTGTATTGTTTCTCCATGGTGGCAGAACTATATTCGAAAACTTCGTTTGTAATCATGTGCAGTTGCCCTGTGAATGGAGGAGGCTGCATTGTGTTATGTACCATGTGACCAGATATATGTGTAAGCTTGTTATCTTGAAAGCATGTGTAGGGGTTCTCGGATTCCAAACATATGCCCTTCTCTTCAGCTTTCGATGGTAATATCGAGTGAAGTGGATCCTCACATCTTGGTGGAGCAGGAAAAGCTTGATGAACCTTCCCTAACCTCCACTGCATTGGAGGTAGAGGGGGTAATGGTGGCATCTCATTCAAATCGACTCGAGGTACCTCAGGCAGCAGGATGTCGCTAGGTAGGACAGGCTGTAATGTATCCATTGTACGACCTGTCATATCGAGTTCACCGATTGAATGTTGTATATATAACTCTGATAGAGAATGTCCAGCTTGAATGGTTGCCTCAATAGTTGTGCATTTAGAACTTTGATCCTGTTGGACTGCTGGATATGAAGGCTGTACCGGTTGAACTTTTTCCTCATCTAATTGTCCTGGAGATGGTTGTTCAAGGCGTGAAGAATTGGAAACATCAACATCTGCCCCTACAGGCCCCATATCCTCGTGTTTAGCTTGCAAACCTGGCAATGGCTCACTGGAAGTCTCAACGGCAGAGGAGAAACTTAGAGAGGGAGGAGATATACATTCAATGCCTTCATTAAGATCACACTGATGGGAAGAATTGAGCTCAGATTCCAGATCTCTTAGTTCCAAAGATTCTGGACCAAAAGAAAGATTATCGATAACTGAAGTGCATTGCGACTGCGTATGAACAGGTAAATTATGAATGCCATCAATCAGCCCTGAATCCGGATAGTCTGAAATCAATTCATTCTGATTTTGATATGGATTCTCAAAGCCAGGATGGTTTTCTAGCAAATCACTCTTCATATTCTCCGATGTAGATAAAAGACCAAGCAAGGATGTGCTCACAACTCCATTCACATCATTTCTGGTCATGGGATCAGCATCAAAATCAAATCCATCTGCTTGAAATGCTCCAGTGTGAAGTTTATCTGTGCTTACATTTTCTTCTTCGCTGAAACTATTTAAATTCTTGGGTGTGACTTCAGCGATGGTAGCAATCTTGGCTACGACTGAAGTAGACGCAACCACACCATCCCCTTGAACCTCTGCAGACACATCACTACAGTCTACAGACTCAACCATCTCATCTGACCGAACCTTGTCAGTCACAACGTCACTACAGGTTACAGAATCAACCACCTTGTCTGCTTGAACCTTTTCAGCCACAATTTCACTACAGTTTAGAGAATTGACCACCTCATCTGCTTGAACCTCTTCAGTCACAACGTCACTAAAGTTTACAGAATCAACAAACTCATCTGCTTGAACCTTTCCAGTTGCAAAATTACTATAATTTACGGAGTCCTCATGATCCAGATCACCTGATGAAATAATTACATCACAGGAGGAAACAGAAGTGCTAGGCAAAGTCACACCTTCTGGATTAACTGTTTCCACAAAGTCTCGTGAGCTTAAATGCATTTCATGAACTGTATCATTTGGATAACAAAGTTGCAGTTCTTCCGAGGTATCATCAGCATGGGTGAATGTGGTTACTTTTCCATCATCAGCTGGCCTTCTTATATCTACAATATTTGCATCCCTTTCAGAATATGTTACATCAATTTCTGTCGTACCATCTTCAACTTGAACTGCTACATTTTCCACTCGATCCTTGAAATCATGCGTCTGTGAGCAATCGGCTGCAAGAGGTAAGTCGTCATATTTTGCTTCAGCTACTAAAATGTTGTCATCCTTCAAAGCCTGAGTCTGCGATAAATCTACTGCAAGAGGTAAATATTTTGCTTCAGCGGCCACAATGCTATCATCACCTTTCAGGGAAATTAAATTATATTTGTTATCTGAAGAATCATTTGTAGAAGCACGCGAAGTCTCAGCGGGCAATAAAGAACTAGGAGACGGGTCAATTTCTGGCAAGGCTTGCTTGTCAATAGTTCTATCATCTTGGTACTCTTTTTGCAGCATTGTATCCCCTACCTTTTCTACCGCTTCAATCTCAACAGCTTGCCCCAAGACATTTGAAAGATGCAATGAATTTTCAGATGTGGCATCTACATCCTCACCCTCCCTGTCTCTAATACGACAACTTTCAAATGGAATTGTGTGGTCAGCGCTACTAGTAGTCTTGGAGGGAACATCAACGTGAACATCTTTATGACAACCTGGGTCTGTCTCTGTACTTGATATCTGCGAACCAGAATTAATAAGGTTG